AAAAGGTCAGATTGGACTTAGTGACTAAACAACAACAAGAAAAAGAATTATAACTAAACTACAGGCTGTAGACCCCAAATCTGCAAATGAGTGAGTCAGTGTTTCAAACATGAAGATTTTTTTTTACTTTCAGTAATAATTTTTTGCTGTTCAAACATATCATACTCATTTGTTTCCTTGAACAACCGAACTATAAATTTCACAGGAGTTTATTCTAATTTAGTTCTGTACATGCAAAGTAACATGGTTCTTAAGCAACCCTTCCTGAACTTATGCCAAGGGAAAACTTAGAGCGGAAATCTGGCAAGTTCTAGGATCAACAACGTTAATCTATTACTTTTATAAATTCTCAGATAGTTTAAAACATGTAACAGTGCATCTGAATTATCTTTCAGAGATATCATGATGATTAAAGAAGACCCCCCAAATTTTAAGAGAGCCTAGGACAACTCCAACAGTAAAAACTGTTTTGTATTGGGTTGGCCAGAAAGCTCGTTCAGGGTTTTCCACATGTTACAGAAAAAATCCTGAACCAATTTTTTGGTCAATCCAGTAAATCAACTTAATCCAAACTCTTGCTTCAGAGTTTGTCAGCAGGCTAAAGATATTTCGAGATTCTTCTGTCTCCAATTTAATTCACCCACAAATTACCATCTCAATCTGTCTTTTAGCTTTCCCAGACCACACTCACTCTTGGGGTGCTAATTTCCAGGGGATCAATCACTCTCAGCATTTATATTCTCAGCACAGGTATCTCCAATTAATAGCATTTATTAAGAACTGCCTATGTGCCCACCACTAATATCCCCTATCTTTTTTTTTAACTAACCACATATGATACTTAAGGAAGCTAAAACATGGGTAGTTTACATAACTTATCTCAAGTTCTGATTATGAGTGGTGAAACCATAATTCTACTCCAGGCACTGGGATTCACAGTTTACTATACTGTGCTGCTTCTAATTATTGACAGGAACTTCAGGCCACACAGTAGTACTATGAATCCTGCCCTTGGTAATACTCTGCTCCTACCTTCTAGACTAATGAAAATTCTGGCTTTACTCATTCTGTGGAACAGCATTTACTGCTGCTACTCACAAGGAGGCACTTGGACATTCTTTCCTACCATGAAACAATGTGAGCTTTAGACTTTTTATCACACCACAGGAGGATTTGGGGCCAGGGTTCAAAACTGAATTTTGATGCATCTTTAAAGTCTTCTTTTTTTTTTTGCTGGCAAATTTTGGTAATGACAAGATTGGCCATGAAATACTATTCCGGAGAGTCACTAGATCATCTAAGATGTCATTTAAAAGAGCCTCAAGACAGCAAAAAACACAGATCTCAAGACTGGTAGGAGTCTCAAGTTCATCAAAAAAAGTCAAAATTGATCCCAAGATGCTTTCCAACTCACATGCAAACATAAAATCCCATCTCAAAAACTTCCAACATTAGAAAAATCAGTCACTGTGTATTCTCTAAAATTTATTTACAATTAATAAGTTAAAAAGCAGAGTACAACCAGATTGCAAATCTTAATCATATGCACATCAAACTGTCCAAGGAAATTTAGTTCCATTAACAAACAATTGTCTTCTAAAGTACTTAAGACATAACAGGCTATCAAAAAATGTTTGAAACACACCAATAAAGTAAATATTATGTATATACGTCCACTAAAAACCACCAATTTAAAGAATGCTGTGGCAACCCTTAAAACAACAAAAGGCTTTGAGTTCAGAATTGCTCAGGTTTTTTGTCTTCAAATAATTTTAATGTTTCTTTATTGAAGAATTTTATAGTACTATCATTTGCATGGAGCTAATAAATAGGTGTCAGTCTATGTTTCTTTATTGAAGAATTTTATAGTACTATCATTTGCATGGAGCAAATCAATAAGTGTCAGCCACCAGCTTAGTTATACAAGTCCAACAGGGTACTCAAACTTCGACAAAATAAATACACACCACAACAGCGACACTTTGCACTATCAACAACAGAGCTTGCCCTCAACAATCATGACATTACTGGTTTCAGGGAGGAAAATTAAGTTGTTGGTTGACAGGATAAAAATGACATCAGGAAGATTCAAAGGTTAGCTGAGGTGACAGTCACCACATTTAGGCACTCAAGAGTTAAAAAGGAAATAAAAGCATAGTGAGGTGATCAACTTCCTCCTAGCTTCTCCCTCTACTTGTGCCGTATGAGATACAAGATAATCTTATACGAGAAGGAATCAAGTCATGAGATTTCTTTAAAAAACTATATACAAGCTAAACTACAGCCTCAGAGGACAGAAAATGGATGCCTCACCATAAAGGCCACCTTGCCAAGTTTCTTTTCACATTCTGCCCAATGGACCCACAAAATACTTTCACTTTCCTATTAATATACTAGCCAACTATATTAGTTGCTTCTTCACATTTTAGGAGTTGTAACGTAGGCTTTGCTAAAGACCACTTGGCAAAAATAAAGACTTTTTTGACACCTATTTCACAAACTAGAAATGGTATGATTTTTAAACAGACCAGATAAAGAACATATTGAATTCAAGATGGGCAATCAGATCCAAACTGAAATCAGACAGCCCAGATAACCCGAAGATGCATTTATGCTAGTTCAAGTGCACTGAAGTAACAAGGCATGAGGGGAAAATGTTAAGAACCTCAGTTAAAATAAAACGCATGGTGTCAATGGTTGTTTCAGTTTTGTGCTGAGCAGTTATCCTCCCAGCTAAGTTTAATTTCAAAACCCTCTGGGAAACTATCTGGATAAGCTGTATGTTGAAATTACATTCTAATATGGCCATTGAATTTATTTTTTAATTATTATAAAACTATATACAATAGTAAGTGGTACGTACCAATACATAGTTTTTTCTTAGGGGCTAGTTAACTAAAAAAAAAAAAAAAAAAAAAGAACAATTTGGGAGTGGAAGAACGGAGGAAAACCTATGTATCTGAAATACAACTGCCAATGGAAGCTAATAACCAAAAGAATATATATAAGCTTCCTATCACAGAGATCAAATGTAACACTCTCCATCATCTAAGTAATGATTCATTTTTATTTACTCATGTGACAGTGTTTGTTACAACGCATTATTGAGTAGTGAATAAAAGAATATGAGGCATACTGGGAAACTGGCATCAAGTCATGTATATATAATATATATATATAATTTTCTTTTTTACAAAACAAGAACACTGAAATTAAAGTCACAAAACTCCTACTTATGTACTATTAAACTTGAAAATTCAATTCAGAAAGCTATGCCATTTGAAATCTAAGAACACAAGAGTCAAAATTGCAACTCTTACTATTTTCCTAAGAAGCTGCCAAGCAGAGAATCTTGAGGACTTCCTATGTTAAGTTCCAGCCAGTGTTAAGTAGTTTCATGGCAGAATACTTAAATTTGAAAAACTGTGGTACGAAAACACCACTTGACCCTTTAGATATTGCAGTAAAATCTGGCTGTGGCACCACTGGCTAAAAACCATTAAGTCTTGCTGCCACCAATGACCAAAGGCACTTGGATAATCAAGAATTCCACTCTGGGCCATATGGTATAAACGCTATTACAAAAGTGTATAAGAAGGGTCAGTACTCAGTGTGAATTGCCCGTTGGATTCCTGTGGTCTTCAGCTGTCAACAAAGACAGGTAAATGCAAACATAATTATGAATGGAATTAAGATAAAAAAGGATACTCGTGGAGGAAAAAAGACAAATGTCACGATGTCTATAAAGGTGATGGGTATTAGTCGGGGCACTTTCTGCTATTCAACACAAAGTAGAGAAAGATCTATTTTGCCCAGAGTAACTTCAACAACTTATTTGATAGCAAGAAATGCCCCCACCCCTCTAAAGAGCTACTAGTTCTGAGACCTCTAATGGGTATTCTGTTTACCATTTTAATCACCACGTTTACACACATTCATTTCTCCTACGTGGCTCCCAATTTAAAATAGGTTACCTTTGAACTTCTCCTGGATTTGTATGTTAGACCAGTACAAAGAGGCCAAACCATTTCCAATAGGATTCCATCCATCTCTTTAACCAACACCAGTTCTTTGTAACTCATTTTTTCTTTATCACAAGCCATGTGGTTTCAACGTACTTTTTTATTTAATCAAAAAGAATTTAACAAATCAACTTTTCCTAAACAGAACTTTATATATGAGTTTCTACCATTTTCTTTAGGAGCTCAGTAAATATAAACATTAAATCTCAATATAAAATCTTTAGAAACACCTCAAAAATGCTGCAATAGTTGTACTTTGCATCTCTTTGTTTGTAATCACTGAGCCCATAGCATTCAAATCATACAAATCCTTGCACTCTTAACATTAGGTCATAAGCTTGAAAAATATCCTTGGTCAAAGCTTTGGAATCCGGTTAAAATTAGGAAACGAGTGGGATTCAGAATACCCTGAGCACAAACGGGTGCAACAGCACAAAACAGGTTCGATCTATCGTCCAGACAGGTTCGATCTTTAGTCCAGAAAGAGGGGTGGCAGTTGAAAAGAAAAAAAATGGGGGTAGGGGGTGGGAAGAAGGCCGGGATAGAAGAGCGGGGTGAAAAGCAAGTAGATTCTGGCTTTATTACACAAGCACGAAACCAAATTCCTTTGGAAAAAATAACGACTTCTTCGGAGGACTTCCAGACCAGTGAGGTAGAGTCCAAAGGGAGAAAACGGATCTGCCCCTTCAGTCCTGGAGACGTCTCAGTCCGGGGTACGGAAGCAAAGGGCCCTCACCCCCCCGCGGGTCCCGCGGTCTCCTCTGCTGCCCGGCACTGGGAGGGGGTGGAGGGCGCACCTGCCCCGGAGTTCCAGACGGCGGTGCCGCGGGCCCGAGAACACCATCCGGTGACTTCTTCGCCCGTAAAGTGCATGAGGGGACGGGGTCCTGGCCGGATCTGTAAACACTCGACTGACACTTGTCCATCCCTCCGGGCGGGAGCTCCGTCCCCGGCTGGGAGGGTGACGCGGGCCGCGCGTCACGCCCGGGGCACCGGGAAGCGGCGGAGCCTCACCACGGGTTCCAGGTTCACTCGCAGGACTTGGCGCGCTCTACGCCGTGCCGCCGCCAGGCTGCGCTCTCCCCACACGTCGCCGCCGACGCGGATGGTGGGGAAGGTGGTCAGCGTCGGGGTGGCCGCCCTCCAGATCTCCTCCAGGGTGCGGCCCCCGAAGCAGGGCTCCGGGGCCGCGGGCTTGACGGGGCAGCTCTCCTCGGGGACCGGCGGCGGGGGCGGCGGCAGCTTCCTCCGGCGGGCGGCTGGCGCCCGGGCTCCGCGGCGCCTCCTCCTGGCCGCCGCGCTCGGGGCCGGCCTGCGCGTCGGGCCGCGGGCGGCGGGGCCTCCCGGGGGGTCGGGGACGAGGGCCCGGCAAGAGGAGTAGCCGTAGACGTCCTTGCTGCGCAGGATGTGCGGGGAGAACTGGTGCTTGAGGCTGCAGAGGAAGCTCCAGAGCTCCGCGTCCGAGCTCATGAACTCCGTGCTGCAGGGCATGAACAGCTTGAAGGCGTCGCCCAGTGCCTTGGTGCTGTCGGCCAGCGACAGTTGCGACCGCGAGTACACCACCTTCTCCTCCCGCGCCTCCAGACCGGCCCCTCCTCCCGCCCTAAAGCCGCCGCCCCGGGCGGCCGCGGCCGGGGCCGCCGGGGGCCGGCGCCGCCGCCTCTTCACGCTGCGCCGCATCGGAGGCCGCTCGGGGCCGCCCGCGTTCGCCGGGTCCCGCCGCCGCCGTCCCCGCCCGTGTTTGGTTCCGCTGCGGCGGCCGCTGCTGGCACCTCCCGCCCGGCGCGTCTCTCGCTACTTTTCTCGCCTCCGCCGCCGCCGCCCCTCCCCCTCCGAGGGCGGAGGACGCGGGTGAAGATCCTGCTGCCCGGTACAAGATGGCGGCCGGCGCCCACCCCTGGGCTTTGTCATTGGACGGCGCCTCGCCCCCCTGGTTTCTCTTTCTTCTCCTCTCTTGCCTCCTTTCGCCCTCTGCCTTTCTTTAAATGTGCCCGCCTTTGGCCCCTCCTACTGCAGCCCCGACTCCACCCATTGGGTGCTCTCAGAAGAGGGCGGGGACTAATGGGGGAGAGGCCAGTTCCTGGAAGATGGTGCTGGGGTGGGTGATGGTGGCTCTTGAACACGAGTCAACAGTTGGGTGGGTATATGGGGAGGGTGTCTTGTCTGAGTAAGGGGTGGACATCAGCTCCACTTTGGGGGGAGTCACTCTACTCTCGGAATGAGTGGATGTGCATTTATGGATTGAGCTGGGAGGTCTACCAGCCTGAATAACAAAGGGAGATCTACCCAAAGGCTGTAGTTTGTATCACAGAAGGGGAAATTGGGTGTAAGTCTAGAGGGAATGGGCCTTCCACAATTCTCTTCTGAACCTCCAGAGGCCTCTTTTGCATCTTCATCCAACTCTTTCCCCACTTTGACCCCAATACCATGTCAAGCAACATGGTAGTAATCCAGAATCATTCAGATAATACGGACGCTGTCAGTAGCATAGTCTCCTTCTAGACAATGGAACCATGTTCACATTTAAGAGATGCTCTGTTTATCAGGAAAGTAAAGCCTGTTATACCCATAAAACTTTGCTCAAGTTGATCAAAGATCAATTACAACAAAGCCATTCTCCTTACAGAAAATATAATTTCTAAATATACAGTTGGTTTTAAATGAGTGTGCTTCACCTTTCATTTAGTTTTAGTATGTCCCTTTGCAGTACTATCTGTAGTGCAGAGAAAGGATGCAGTTTCACAATCAAAAGGTTTCTGTTGAAAAGAACAGGTTGTTAAGACCCCATCACCTTTTGTACATGAGAGGAGGGGATTGAATGTTTATAGAGTAATGCACAATCTTCTGTCATTTTTCTATCCTCAATACTTAGTTCAGCACCTGTCAGACAGTGGGCACTCTATTTCTGTTGAGTGAATCAATGAAAAACATGATGATGTGAGAAGCATATATTCAAATTGCTAAGAACAGGACAATTTCCCATTTTACATTTCAGGTTTATCTTAACTCCATTAAAATTTTAAGGTTAAAAAAAAATCTCCTAATACTTAGAACTGTGAGGTAGACATACAAATTTTACCCCCGAGTGAGCACTTTATTTTGCAGTAGAAAACTGATAGAGCAGAGTTTTGTGATTCACACATAGCTGCTATTGGTTCCCTCAAATATTTGAGCTAAAAGACACCTAGTTCAATATCCTTATTTCATGGATGAGGAAATTTGGATCCACAGAGGTTGGGTAATAAGGCTTCTTGATTGTAGGACTAGGACTATAGTTTAGGTCTTTGGATTCCTAATCTTAGTGATCTTTATATTTCACTGGAGATTTTACAAATTTGTGCTGCTCAGACTCAAAGAGGTTCAGTAGAAAATGCCTATGTAAGAGAGGAGTGACCAAGGAAAAGAGCTGTTCACCTGATTCCACTTCTGGCTCCTCCCAGAATTGGGCAGTTTTTAACCTGTCCAGTATACTGGACTTACAGATTATATTTTCTTAGAACCAGATTTTGTTTAACTTCAATAAAAAATAAAACAAAAATATTTTGAAAGTTGCTTCTCTGTACCAGAGCATCCTGTCCATGCACTGGGTTTATGCAAAAACCAAGCTTCCTACCAGAGGACCAGTTCTCAACCTACCTAAACCTTGGTAAGTTTCTGAAGAGAAAATCAGTTTCCTAGAAGAGCATATCCTGATCTCAGAACAAGATTATGGAGCCAGTTATCAGCTTCCTAAATCCTTATAGAGAAATGATATTACAACTCTTTGCATCACAATTAGTTCTGTTGGTAATTTTGGGAACACATACTAATGTGAAATTTGTATAACTTCCAATGGAATGCCCCTGCAAGACAGACATAGAAAATCTCATAGATTAAGCCAGCAGAATGGTAAAGGGGCTTCATAGTGAAAGAAAAATAAGGATTTATGTACTCCCAGCTTCTCATCTTGATATTTCTTCCCTTTCATGTTAATCCTTTTTTAAGTACTTAGGGTTCTTAAGTATGGAAAGGTTGTTTGCTACATAAATATACCAGACATCTATACAAACTTACAGAATTGATTTCGATTGAAAGGATAAATCTTATAAGACTGTTCTCATACTAAGGAAACATAGGTCTCAACAAATTGCAGAGCATTCAAAAGTTCATTTTATAATACATACTCATTTAATTTACTTAAACCAAACAATATCTTTGTGAAATATTTTTAGGAATTAACATCATGTCAAGTGCTTAAATTATTGTATAATTTTAAATTTGGCATTGTTTGATTTCTGTTTCTTATTTTTATATTTCTTCCTGCCTCCACCTTTTTATTAGCTTAAATAGTCCTACAAATGGTACTTATCCATTCTCCAGAAGTGAGTAAAATTTACACATAATTTTTACTTTTAGTTCCTGAGACTCTCCTCAGACACTACAAAGTTTTTGGAAAGTTAAAATTAAATTTATTTAATCTTATTGCAGATTAAAATCTTGTTCTTGAGGAAACACTGTTTAAAATGCTGGGTTTATTCCTTTACCTCTCAAGGAGAATGATGCGTCCTTCCTATACCTGATAGTGGTGAATAATGAGAACAAACTGAACAAAAAATTAGCTATATGTGTATATTTCTAAATTTATGCAGTTTAAAATATAGTTTATAATTTATGTAGTTTAAAAATGAAACCAAAAAGAATAAAGTAATTAGAGAAATTAAAAATAACATATATCTCTTTGCTATCCAGAACTTGTGCTATAAGATTCCACTTCTATAAAATAATTTGCTTCTTACAAAGTGGACAAAAAATTAAAAAGTATCTGTAAATGGTTGGGAGCATCCACTCTGGAATCAAATGACTTGGAACCAAACAGATCTTTATAACATAATATCCTTAGATATTTAAAAAAATCCTTCTGAGCCTATTTCTTCATTTATAAAATGGGTGTAATCTCTGCTTCAATAGATTATTTTGAGGATTGAAGGAGCAAACATGAGTAAAACTTGTACTACAGTGTCTGGATCATAGTAGGCATCTGATAAATAATAGTTATCATCATTTGTCTTATCTAATTATGAGTATTTTGTTTGGTTTAGCCTACATATTTCAAATCCTACATTACAGTGGGAGTCTATAGATTTCTTAATAGATAGATGAGGGGAAAAGAAAAATGTTACAGCAAGAAGGAAATTTAGAGATCATCTAATGGATCCAACACTCTTAATTCAGATGGGAATATTGAGATGCCAAGAGAGCTGCCAAAGTTTACATAGCCGAATGGTGGAATAGTCTGAACTAGAACCTAGGTCTCTGTTAATCCAAAGTTGCTTCTAACAACTCTGGTATTTAATCCAAGGAGATAGAATTAATTTGTAGTCCAAATGAAATTACATAGAACATGATTCATCAATTTCAGCCTTTTCATTAAAATAATTATGAAGTAATGTAATGATTTTTCTATAAAAGTTACCTCAAACCTCTGATATGCTCCTGAATGTGTGTGTGTGTTAGTCACTCAGTCGTGTCCAACTCCCTGTGACCCCATGGACTGTATTTAGCCTGCCAGGCTCCTCTGTCCATGGGATTCTCAAGGCAAGAATACTGGAGTAGGTTGCCATTCCCTTCTCCAGAGGATCTTCCCAATCCAGGAACTGAACCCTGGTCTCCATTGCAGGCAGATTCTTTGCCATTTGCTACAGGGAAGTCAAACTGTCTAATTTAAAATACACAAAATACACATATAAACTGAGAGGCCAGGACTTCCACTTCCAAGAAAATAAAATACATATACTTTCCCTATTCCTCCTGCTACTTTCAGTTTAAAACCCTGGGCATTATATATAAAAGGAACATAAGACTGAAGAATGGAGAGGAGAAAGCCAGTCTAAGGATTTCAGAACCCAAAGAACAACACATTAGTGAGTGCCCTGGATTTTCTTTTTTCTCTTTTCTGCACACACCTTAGACTGGGTGCTGGAGAAGTCAGCAACCAAGAAACACCAACAGACATAAAAGTGCTGACAAGATCATGTTCTCTCTAACTTTACAACCAAGAAAGTCATAACCTACCAAGACAGAAACTTTTACAAAATTATCAATCTACCACAGCAAAATAGCACCAAAAAACAAACAAACAACTATGGCTTCTACCCTCTCCAGGCTATAAGTAGGCACTCCACCACCCCCACTGGAGTAGTGTCAGAGAAGATCAAGTAGAGACTCATCAATCTCTTCCCTGCTGGGCAAGAGAGAAGCTATTCTCTTCTAAAATGTTAGTGCAGACCATGTGGGGAGCAATAACAAGACACTCCTATTCCTCTCAGTAGAGGTCTAGTAACCAGCTAGCATTCCTACCCCCACCAAGTAACAATGAGGCAGAGTGGGAAACTTGGACTTCTACTTGGCAATAGTGAGGCAGCATCCCTTCCTTTCCTTTCTGTAAAAATGTCAAAGGAAGACTGCTAAGAACAGATGGTTTAAATATTATCCAGAGTCTCATAACATAATAGCCAAAATGTCTAGGTTGCAACTGAAAGTCACCTAATGCCGAGAACCAAGAAGATCTGAAATTGAATAAAAAGGGATCATCAATAAATGTCAACACTAAGATGAGAAAGATGTCAGTATTTTATAGGAAATATTTTAAAATAGCCATTATAAAGACATTTTAACAAGTAGTTATGAACACACTTGAAACA